CCATACTTAGATGCTTCAACCGCCTAACGATCCAGAATGAGTTGCATACCCTGGGGATCGTCACCAAGTAAGGTGATATCATCAGCGTAACCTAAGTCGGTCGCGCGCTTACCCGGTAGAAGCTCCAGGCCAAAATGTTGGGAAGCATTCGACAAAACGTCTTCGATTGCGAAGTTGAAGAGGAAAGGGGACATAGGGCAGCCCTGTCGCATACCGCTATTGACAGCGAAACGTGAGGAAAGCTTGCTATAGGCTCTCACTCTGCCGGAAGTATGAAGGTAAAGTGCTCGTAAGATGGCGGTATATTTCTCTGGCACCCTTTTCTTTAGTAAGCAACGCCATAAAGTAGGTCGATCAACGGAGTCAAAAGCGACACGTATGTCTAGGAATGCAACGATAGTGGGTCTGTGATAAATGTGGCGATGTTCGAGGAGTTGGCGGAGCGTGAATATTTGATCCACGCATCAGCGGCCAGGATGGAAACCAGCTTGTTCTTCACGGTAGTATGATTCACGTACTGGGAATAGTCTGCGAAGCAGAATGGATGCCAATAGCTTAGAGGTAACTGAAATAAGACTAATCCCGCGATGATTTGCACATGAAGTGCGAGCGTCTTTCTTGAAAATTGGGACAATAACAGATTCGCTCCAAGCGGAAGGCACTTCCTCTTCATGTCAGATTTTTTGTGAACAGCGCGATCAGCTGGTTACTGATCGCCACACCGCAGTACTTGAATAGTTCCAGAGGAAGTCCGTCTAAGCCGGCAGCCTTGAAGCGCTTTAAGCGTCGAAGCTGGAGGCAGACTTCCGCTTCGCTGGGTGGATTCAGAGGGACGAACCAGGGTGAACAACAACGTGTACTACACGTACTGATGGATGGTGGAGGCCAGTTGAATTGCGAGTGAAATTGCTCGGCTCAGCGGTCCATACGCCTCTGTTGGTTGGTGATCGGAGACTCAACCACCTCGCAAATGACCTCACTGACACCAGGCTTCCTGAGATTAGTGGACCGAATGAGTTGGAAAAGCCTGCGAGTGTTGCCAGAGAGGGCAGCGGTCTCCATCTCTGAAGCACGCTCAGACCACCATGCCTCGTGATGCTTGCGTAGACTTTGCTTGAGCAGCCGGTTGGCAGAACAGCGCCGCTCGTTGCAATCTGATTCCGCCGGAATATCTTTGCGGCGTTCGAACAGCTCCAGAGAACGAGCAGAGAACCAAGACTTCAAAGGGCATCGAGTTAGGCCGCAGCATGACTGTCCGGAAATGGTCAGCGCCTTCCGTATACAAGTCCAGTGTTGTTCCACCTCTTGCGGTGGATTGCAGCTGATTGAATATGCTAGTGAAGACTGATAGCTCGCCTGGACAGAGGAATCAGTTAATCTGTTTACATCAATCTTGCGGTGCTTCGTGCTTCAGGACCCCCCAAAAACATACAGATTTTCGCGCAGACCAGAGCATGATCTGAGTCAACGAAAGTTGACCAAAAGGACCTGCAGTCCAGTACGCTGCCGCGCCATCTGAAGCTAATTGCAACGTTATCACTTTGAAACCACGTTTGTGTTGAGGGAATGGGATGCCACGTTGCGGGACGCTTCTTCGTACGCCTGAAGTTAGTGCTCGAAAGAAACAGACGGTTGTCTTCGCAAAATGTGAGAAGCCTCTCTCCGTTATCAGAACGGTTCTCATCGAGCGCGTGGTGACCACCAAGGTGGCGTTCGTATGGTAAGAGGCGGCCAACCCGTGCATTAAAATCCCCTGCAAGGATAACGACATCCGACCATTTAGCATCAGTCAAGAGCTGATGTAGATCTCGGTAGAAATCGTCCTTGACCGAGTCGCCACTGCAGTCATTTGAAGCGTACACGGAGATCACAAACAAGTTGTGTCTCTCTTCGCGGTGCCTGTTGATTCTACATGAACCCCGAAGCCGAACTGCAAATAGTCGGCTGTTAATAGGGAACCAGTCCAGCAGTGCCGCCTCAGCCTTGTCACAGTGCTATACCTACACCGGCCAAACCCGCTGAGGCTGCTTCTGGATCTGCAGAAAGACGCAGGTGATATCTGGTTTCGTGGTCAGTGGGGGATGTCAATGTAAGCACAGCGCTGGGATCTTGCAATCAGGTTTCTGAAAGGCAGCAGACATCAATGTCTGGGGAATCTGGGGTGCGCGCTAGACCGGCTTGCTGTCCATTCTGCATGAGTGTCCGAACGTTGAAGCACGCCAGACGGAACGAGGATCGGGGACGAAGGAGAGCCATAGGTTGAACTCCTTGATCTGCGAAGCAACCGGAATCGCAGCCAGATTGTTGAACAGACGAATCGGGTAACCGAAAATGAGGATTGTTAGCTAACAAACAATTGGCTTGTGATGAATTCACGTGAAAGTGACTAGCAGAAACAGCAGCTGATGAGCAAGTTGTAATACAGTCCATGGTTTTGAGAGAGGGCGTGATACTACCCGGTTGCCCAAGCCGAAGTATGGAGTTGACTTAGGGGGACTCCATCCCGAGCCTTTGGCTAAATAACCTACCCGCAAGGTAGCGGGGCGAATTTAGGGAATCGCGCCCATTGGAAGGCGTTGACTGAATGTTCAGTTCATGCGTCTTTGTTTGGTAGATTACCAAACAGAGGCCAGGCGTCTATTGACTTTATACGTGTTTCGGATGGAAGAACTTTGTGCGACATTTCGATCGCCTTTTCCACCGTGAGTTTGGATTGCAGTGTTACTTACATCACTCAGGGTCCACACCCACTATAGTTAAGTGATAGTCGGATTGGAGTTACCGTTTTGAACCAGTGCACCGCACGTGTTAAATGCCGTTGAAGCTAGTCAGGTGCTTGGGCCTCTAGCTCGTTTTAAATCTGAAGGTCGGGGACAGCGTGGACCAAGATCCATATTAGAGCTTCCAGAAGTGCACCTGATTCTGTGTGCGTTTGGTCAAAAGGACGTCGTTCCAGTTACCTAAACTTCAGCTACGCTTTTGATCCTAGTAACCAAAACAAGTATAAAGTCAATAGTGTAGTTAGACACCCCAGTAACCAGAACTTGAAACAGGTGAACAAATTGATTGTGCCCACATCGGTAGTTTCAAGTTTGGCTCAAGTAGTTGCTCCCGGAATTAGTGTCTGTGGATCGTGCCGCACCATCGCATCCGTAAATATGTGCTATTACGAAAAGCCTGAAAACAAGCACGTTTTTGGTCTCTGTATGCCGACCAAAAGTAAAACTAATGAGCACTCGCGCAACCAGCTCAAAAAAGGTCAGAAACAATAACGAATACTACTGCGATACTGTACAGGCCACCTATTGCACATACTTCGATGTGGAGGCCTAAACTGTTTACTCGTTTGTTAGTCGGCGTGTTCACTGAGTTTGGCAGTTTTGCCCCAAACAAGTCACAAAGCGAGATGGCATCCTCAGTGCGATTTTATATATCGGAGCGGAGCGGCGCGATATGAAGCGTTAGTGAATATGCGTCGGGTAGTCGTGTGTGTGTGATGAGGTGCGTCTGGGCACATCGGTTGGAGAGTTCAATTAGCAGATGTGTCAAACAGTAGACATGATTTCATTCATATCATGCAGTTTGTCTATCGATTTCTTGATTATTCTGTGTATCATTTGGACCAGTTGGCTTCCTCCCTTCAGCCCTTATTGACAGTAATCGGCAAGTCGTTACCGTTGTATTACTTTAACAGTAACCAATCGATCCCCATAATTGGAGCAAACTCGTCCAACCATACGTAATGCTTGACGTGGGTTAAGTAACTGGTGTTCACAAAATGATGTACCATATATCCATCCTACAACCACATAGATGCACCAAAGTAAAATATTCGTACTCGTCGCAGACTACTTGTTTCTTAAATTCGCTTATTGTTCTTTCATTTCGCGACAGTTTGAAACGGTAACACGGATTAGTAATCAAGTTGTTCGTTATTTGCTGGGGCATCGGAAAAATGAACTGAGTCACTCATCTTCCACGTGATATTAAGATACCTTGTTGATAAATTTATTCAAGTCCAGTATCATTGGTAGAGAAATAATTTCGCCATGCCAGCAATAATGCAACACAACGCAACATGGAATATTGAGGCCGATACTGGCGGCTCCTGAATCACCGGCTTCTAAACCAACTAGGCCACTGGTACTGCATGCGACTGAAGCTTACATAGCTAATTACAACTGTCCCAATATCACGTCTACCCATTATATTTTTGGAATCGCTTTCCCTTAGTCGCTGTCAGCCCTATGAAGTATCCCCAACATATTTGTTCTTACCACTAAGTTAGTGGTTTGTTGTGTAAAGCCGCTGTGAACTACGAACGCCTTCATTAGGTATCCCAATTATAGCTGACGCACGGAGAGGTTTAAAGGCGCCTTCAGGACAAAATATCGTCTTGTACTTTTACAGTCCCAAGTTGAGACCATCAGCCAGATCAGCTGGTGGGATATAGTTCCATCGTTTTATCTTATCTCCTGAAGCGCCATTGATAAAGCGTACCATCCCCAGCAACGTTTCAGGGTCAGGTGTTTCTTTTGTCCAATTATCACTCATCGGACGGGTCTCACTTTTCTACTAGATTGTTCTACGCCGGGATTCGAACGTTGCAACGCCCTACTGCTCGAATAGAGTAGCCCGTTAATGAGTTTGTACACATCGTGTTCATACTGTGCAATGTGCAAATAAGGTAACTGGTATGCATCGGGTCATCCATAACGCCATGTACTCACGTGTACCCCGTAATGTTGTTCAGACAAAACTTCACATTGTTTCTTTCCTCTCTGGTCACCTACTGTAGTCCGCCACGCAGCTAGCCTTTTGCACACGTTCACAGTGCTCTGTTCATCATTTTGGCTCAACAGAGATAGAAATACAGCTGGTCTTGTGGCTATCATCCACTCATCCTTAGAAGGATTGTCATCACCTTTTTCACACACTATTGTTGTGGACGTTAGAGAGGTGCTCCATTGTCTTTAGACCGTTCTACACGGTTTCTAAAGCGACCAGTTGCCTACCGGCTTGTACAACGGAACGCTTCGAAGTCAGGCCAATCAACGTGGGTGGTTTCCTCTTTTCCTCTGCTTACCGTTTGTGCGGACGTACCACTGCCCAATGGTTTGTAATGAGATCTAACTTATTTTGTTTGGATGGTGTCCACCGATCATTATTCGAATGAGAAATTATGTCGTTTACGCGCAGTATCGATAGTATCCACCCAGATGAGCCAGTCAGCAGTGCAGTCGAAGAACACAACGGAGTGCTAATCACCCAAAAACCACGCCCGGAACGCGTGGCTGGAAGGCATTGCATTCACATATGTAAAGCTGTGCTTGCGCACATCGGGTTGGCACTGATACTGGTGGCATATGTGATCGGTGGGGGTTACATGTTTCGGGCATTGGAGCTGAGTAACGAATACTCAGACTGCACACAGCGACAGCACAACTACCGGAAGATACTAAACTTTTCTACAGCACGAGTAATGGCTCTCACTGAATCTCAAATGGATGGAGGCACAGACGACGGCCAAGTGAGTGATGCAATGGTGGAGTTTGCCCGTCAAGTATTCAGCTTGGATTTTCATCCGGATGCAAACTGTTCGGCCATCATTCACACCAACTTCGGCGCGCGCTGGAATGTGGGCAACGCTATGTACTTTTGTGTCACCATCATCACTACAATAGGTAAGTAAATGGTGGTAGAGAGATATACGATAAAATACACCAGGAGTCTATTTATCTGGTAGTGGCGGTTCATATCGTAACCCATTAAACCTCAACTGTACCCGCTTTTATAACTTACTCACTTAGGACATTTTGTTGTAATTTTTGGTGCGTGCGTTCTTACTGGGTTGACTGTTGTGGCGAATTTTAACTCTAAATCGTTTCGATTGATATTGACCGTTTCTTGTACATTAGGAGAGTCATGCTTTTCCTCATTCAGGCTATATACTCAAACAGCAATGGATTATTATTTGAAATGATAGCTTATGGAAACTGGATAAAAACAGCAGTTTTATGCAGCTTTAATGACGGTGCCGTAGCAAACAGCGTCAACTCCGTAACCATCACACTCATATGGCCCTAGCAGAGTTTGTTTTGCTGTGCCGACAAAAAGCAACGTATTCGATATGTGGTAGTTGCTCTAGCATGTCGAATTAAAGAACATTCCTTTCAGACCACTAACTTGAGGAAAATATTTCCCACTGTTAATAAATTCTGAGTAAATGAAGTGGCCGGTAGCTGCGTGTTTATAAGAGTTTTGTACCTGTTTGTCAAGGTCCAGATTTGCTAAATTCCAATAACGCTAACTTATTCTCATAATTGAGAAGTGTTTGAAAACAACGAGGTGGTGGGCAGCGTTTGGCTTCTTCAGGCCTAGCAAACCTGTGCATAGCTTGTGTGGTATTTAGAATACTGTGCCCCATGCTGAGGCTGATGTTGCATCCATGATGCTTCTTCACCGCAGTTGATCTAAACCAACTTACACTTAAACAAGGTCTTTTTAAGCTGGATACATTTCATTTCACTTTATTTGGTTTGTTCTGCCTACCTGAATAATCTTCTATTAACTGGCCACGTTGCTCATGCAAATTGCGGTAAACTTACGTGATTGTATCGCGTGATATTTTTTAAATAACTCGGACATTTTGTACTTATCACGGATTCACTTATAATTAATTTCTTCTATATGCTCATTTAACGAGTATTTATGCCGTCATATGCGTTTAGTTTATTCGATAGCGGCATTTTGAGTGATTGGTTGTTGTTTGACATCCCAGGTGTGGCTGCGCTTGGTGTGCATGTTGACAAGGTGCCTACCTATCTATTACCCACTACCTCGTCCATACTGACTGCAGAAGACAGTTGGTCGTTGCTGAAGGGGACTGGGTGCACGATCCTTGTGGTCATGCTAGGCTCGAAGAGCGGTTCCATGCACTCAGTGTGGAACGGACTACGGCCCAGTCACCGCTTTGTGTGCACTTGATTCCTCAAATACAGCGTGCTTGTGTTTGTCTGTGAAGGAGTGTGGGCCGGCTCCATTGATGCAACGTGCCTCTCATCCACATGCCTCCCGGTCTTATTCCTTCGGGTTTACACTGGATATGGGGTGTGTGGATGGAGCTGTGGGTGGTGCAGCACAAGCCAGCCATTGTCCCTCTGTAGGCGCGGGCGTCCTGTGGCTGACCACAGTGACAGGCAAATCCGAAACCGGATGCCACCAACCATTTAGAATACTGAAATGTTAATCTCGACAACCGGGTGAAATGCAAGTAAGAAATCACCTTTGGAGGTCCAACTGCTCTCCCAAGTGGTACATTGATTTTGGAACGCCCCCAGGTGGTTCACCTCACTTGGTCATCTTATGCGAGTCCATGTCAGCGACGGTGGTTAGAGCGCTTTGATGTTTGTTCCCCAAGCGGTCAATATGACAATTTTAGCGTGCCATTGCATAATGGTACTGGTTGAAAAGTTGACTGTGTCTCATCAATACGGATTTCCGGTATAGCTTCTTGGTCTTGTTGTGTTGTTAAGGTTAATGTATTTCCATGCCCTGTAAAGTTCTGGTTATTATGGAAAGAATATATAATTTGGAACAACCTATTAGGTGTATGGGCAACTGCAACACGTGGTGAACTAGGTTGCTGTAGGAGCACTAGCACCGTTCGCGATGCTGTGGTTCACTCAGAATGCAAATAGCCGATACATATACTAACACAACACAAATTTTATTCGTACTTATTGCTACATTAATCGATGCATGTGACTGTGCTCTCTCAGTGCGTTGGTAGGTCTTGAGGAACAATAAAGCCCGATAGACAATTTGCTTTTAGCTGCACTAAACGCCCCATTTGGGACTTCGTTATCGACCTAAACCATACTGCATGTGATCTGTGACCCCATTCTTCGTTGCCTGTTGTGTGTACACGTTAACCTTCTCCCGGCCTGCTGATGCATGTGCTGTGTTACTTCGCTTTAGCCGTGGTAAACAAACTTAGTCGAATTTCAGTCCACTACGATATCCGCTCTTCCGGGAATGCATCGTGGTTCTGCGTTACCACCATCAGTTGCCCTCATGATGTTCTCCTTTCACCTACAACGGAGAAAATGTTGTCGTAATCAGGCAACTCTCCCCTAAATCGCAGCAATGGGTGCTCCAGATTGAACACGGGCTGGACCCGGTACCAAGTCAAGAGTAAAAGCATTTATTAACGGAATTTGTCAGTTCTTCGGGGCCCCAACAAACACGACTACCAGTGTCGTACGGTTTATGTCCCCGATGTTACCGAGAAAAACAGTTGCCACGCAAACCGACAACATGATGTCTGAGTAATCAAGTATTAGTAAGCTGGCATCTAGTTAATAAGACAGGAGCTCTGCGCGAACCGCAGTGTCCCCAAAGTAGGAGGACTGAGGTCAGAGCAAATCCTGCTCAGACTCGTATTCGTAGTATGGTAAAACGACGCAGTAATGAGACAAAATATTTATTGACGCGACGACCGTCAGTCAAACCACTAACGCAGGTGAATGGGTATGCGTCATGTTTCCATCCCAAGATGCGCCACGTTGCGTGGAGTCCGCTCACGACACATCGGTGCACCCACCCAGTCTGCGAGGAGTAATAATTGCTGTATGTTCACCCCATAGCTCCGATTCTGTCCATTCCATTCTGGTCAGCCAGGATGTGTTGTGGCTTCCACACACTTCTTGCGGTCAGTATTGGAGGTGCCAATACCGTCGTATTCGTCTGTTATTGAGCTTTCAACGAATGTCTTCCCCGTTTCTTGTGGTTCCGGCTCGCTACCGGTCGCCGCCCACTACCTGGTCTCCACTCGTTCCCTCAGGATACTGCTGCTCTACCTGTTCTCAATCGCTGTGCTTTTTCCTAATTCCATCCGCTCCCATTTTTGGGCTCTGCTAATTTTCCGGGCACTCCTTGTGTTCCGTCTCCCTACAATAGGTTCATTCGGAATGATCGTCCATCTCGCTATGACGGTGTTGCCAACGGCAATCAAGATTACTTGAAATGTGAGGCCCTTACTGAACATTCCCTTGTTATCCCCGATGCACTAATTTGCCGACTGCACCTAGCAGATCGGGAGAGTGAATCACAGAGAAGACGAGCGATTTTTGCCTCTGAGCAGTTATTTATAGGCCTCCACACTCGCTAGCAGACAACGATAAGATTCTGCTAAGAGCTCTCCGCCATACTGTTTCCCAAAGGTACGCACAATATCTTATAATTAGCGACGTCAATGTACGTTTAATAGCATCAGAGTCACCTAATGAGCCATCATTTAGATCGAAGCTTCTTGAATTCATGGACATGGCAGTTTTGTGCAACCATGTGTAGCGACCAATCTGACACCGCGGTTCAGACAAACAATCCCTCCTGGACTTAATCCTGACAACTGAAGAATTGATGGTTGAGTCAATAGCATACGACCCTCTACTAGTCCGTAGCGACAATCCTGTCCTTATATTGGGTTACATGTATTATGCCAATATTGTTGACAAAGAAAAAGCGTTTCAACGGACTATTACGGCATTATTAAGCTGCACAACTTGGCGGCAGCCGTTGACTGGGACCTACAGACGCACAGTTCAGCGAATCACGCGTGGAATGAACGGAAAGACAAAATTAATTGGTTCATACAATCAGCATCGAAGGTTGTACTATTACCAGCATCGTGCAGGACCTATACGTGGATCCGAAGCAGAACACGTAAATGGATCAACAGAAGAGATGAAATCTGGAGGCAACATTCGCTAAGCCCATGTGATACCACATGGCAGAATTACAAAGCAATCAGAAACTACTGCACGTCGCTCATTAGAGTCGATAAGTATGAGTGGCAGGAGAGCATGGTGCTAAGATTTACGAGTAACATCAAACTATTCTACAGATTTGTGAAAAGCAAAAGAAAGCTTAAGCCCAGATTACCACCACTCAAGACGGCCTAACAACTACTGCTGTGGATGCCGCGAATGCTCTACACCTGCAGTTTGACTCGAGAGCTTTAAATAGTATGGAACCTTCGCCCTATCAACTCCCAACAAATGTCGCTGGTTTATCCAGTCACCTTTACCCCAACAGCTGTTGCAAGCAAAGTACAGCCCCTCCGGGAATGCAGTGCCCCAGGAATTGAAAAGATTTGCCCAAAAGTACTTAAAACCCCTGCATCTACCATAGCAGTACAACTTACAGCGTTGTTCCAGGATCAGCTTGACTCCATACACTCCCATCTGGGGAGAAACGTGGAATCACCACACCAATACATAAAAGAGGTAAGCAATCGGATCCTGACAACTACCGCCCTATTACTCGCCTTCCTGTTTTGTAAAATGCAATGGAATCGGTAATCACAGCTGGACTGACGCGATATTTTGAGTCTACAAATAATTTTTATCGCCGCGGTTGCGTTACGTGGAAGAGTTGCACAGGTTAAGGGCAATGATAAGACCTAGGAAAATAGTTGGGGATGTTTTTGGTTGATGTGCATAGACAGGTGATCGCCACACCAGGTTAGACTGTACAGTAATTTGGGACAACCCTGCACCTTAACTTTTGAAATATTTATTAAAATTAAGTAACAATGTGCATAATCACACATGTTATCTGGAGGATAACACGTTAAATTTAATGTTACCGAAAGAACTTTGCTAAAAGCACGGTTGTGATCAAGATATT